GGAAGTCTCAAACCCCAATTGAATGTAGTCTGGGTGGATGGGCTGGGCTTACAGGCAACACAAGCGCGCGGCCAGGGGCGTTTCACGCCCGAGCGCGCGACCTCGCCTGCACACCCTAAACCCTAAACTCTAAACCCTAAACCCTAAACCCTAAACTCTAAACCCTAAAACCCTAAACCCTAAACCCTATCCCACCCTGAACCCCGGCCTCCCCGATATCAGGGGGCGGCGGGCTGGGCATGGAGCCGGCGCCGAGGTCGAAAAGCATTTTCTCATTTCCTGCGCTTAGGGTTTAGGGTTTAGGCTTTGGGAGGTTTAGGGTTTTGGGGTTTAGGGTTTGGGGTTTAGGGTTTTGGGTTAAGGGTTAAGGTTTCGGGGTTTAAGGTCTAGGGTTTTGGAGTTTAGGGTTTAGAGTTTAGGGGTTTAGGCCTGCGGGCTACATAGAGGGTCATAGAAGTGGTTATGTAAGGGCATCTACGATCTTGCAGGAACATATAGGGGTACATAGTGGCTATAGTGGCTATATAGGGGTTGTAATGGGTATATAGGGGGTATATAGGGGGTACACAGAGATTATAAGGGAAACACAGGGGCTATAAGGGGTAGGGTTGCACCAGGGGTTATAAGGGGCATACAGGGGTCATAAGAGGTACACGTTCCCCCCGTGGTTTGGAAAATTGGAGGCCAATCTTTTCAGGGTTATGAGCCTAGGGTTGCTACGTTGCATCTACTGGAACCACTGGGGTTTAGGGTTCGGGGCTTAGGCCCTCATCCAGGGTTGAGGGTTTAGGGACTAGGCCCTCAACCCTGAACCCTAAGCCCTACCCGCTAAATCCTAAACCCTAGACTGGCAAGGGTAGGACTAGAACCCGTCTCTGACAAGGAAGAATAGCACATGCGCAGCCACCAAAGCAGCTCCAGATTTAGAAGCCTACTGTGCAACCCTGTGCCCTGGATGCACAAGGGTATAGTCCCCCTTAAGTAGATAGAATCTGGCCTTGGGTATATTATAATAAGATCCCCATACAGGCCATATTTTATCTACTTAACGGGGACTATATCCCAATAGGGACTATAAATTACAAGGCTCCTTACGCAATGTAGGGATCAAATAAAGCAACAAGAAGGGTACTCGCAGTTTCGACAAGCAAGGGTGTCCTTCGTCCAATGATCTTATCTTGAAGTCCTTGGCAGACATCAGACAGGTGGCAGGCTCTAAGCTTGCCATGATTGTCTCTCGGTGTTTGAGAGACTGACGTAGGTTCAGACTTTCCTGCAGCAAATTCAGTTTGAACAGAGATTATGCAAGATCCAATACTTGTCCTTGTACAGGCCACCAGGTTGCATTCCCAATGTCTTCTGATCACGGTGGGACCCCCAATGCATGCAATAGCCCCTGCAATCGCAAACATCGTAAGGAATCAATGTTGATGGAGGACGATGACCACGACGATGATGGTTGCGATATTGCTAACTATGATTAAGACAATGATGATGATGATGATGATGATGATGTGGAGGAGGATGAGGATGAGAGGGAGGAGGATGCGGGCAAGGCGAACTCCGCACTACTGAGGGTGGCTACAGAGTTCATAGTCTCGTAGTCATGTTGACAGCTGTGCTGATGCCTCAGAACCACAATAACATGATACAGCAAAGACGGGGCTGTAAATGAGCTATAGTCTAAACTCCAAGTATTCCCCTTAATAGCCCCTTAATGGTCCCCTAGATAATCCTCCATATAACCCACCTTTCAAGAGTCTAGACTGTAGCTAAAAATGGTCTTTATAGGCACGCGAGACAGCAGACAGCCCACAGCAGGACAGCGAGGCCTACAAGAGGAGTTGCAAAGAAAACTAGCACAGCAAGCACCCTTCAACCTCTTTTTGAACATAAAGTTCGTGAGGCGACCAATTAGAAGGAATCCCCCCAAGGGTACCCCTAAACCCTGTAGACCGGACGGTCACGAGGGGTTCGGAAGTACTTATGAGCTATAGTCTAAACTCCTGGTATGCCCCTTGATAACCCCTATAGTAGTCCCGTATATAATCCGCTATAGCTCTTGTCAGGGTTACATTCCGATATTGGGCTGCTGCACTTTCATTCTACATATGAGCTATGATCGAAGCTCCTAGTACTCCCCCTAATAAGGCCAATGATACTCCCTTATAGGATCCCTATATGACCTCTCGGAAGCAGTTTGTACTATGGCTCATATTAAAATAAATCCCCTGTTTGCATGGTGTCGGTCTGAACTCTCCCAGTAAGATCAGCCAAGGCGCAAGAAATTGAAGCTGATAGACGTTCGAGTCAAGCGTGCACAGGAAGCCTCCGCAGATGTAAAATCAGGGTTTCACGCACCGCCTCTTAACAGTTCGAGCTGTAATGAACGTTCCCATGCAGTGTGCTAGAAGCTTTCAGAAGCCACTACCTTCATCCACGTCAGGCATCCTGCCTTCCAGCATCAATGAAAACAGTTACAGTGTGTGGGTTGATTAACGCCCGTAGGGAATAAGGGAATACAACCCCTCTATTATCCCTATACAATATAATACCATATTCCCGGCTAAGCCCCAGTGAGCAGTTGCCAGGCTCAGAGTAATCCCTCTCAAACTCCACGCCAGGCAGTGTTGAGCTCCTAAATGGGTGTAATATCAAAGCCGCTCATACGGAGTTTGAGTCTCGAACGAACAACCACGCTGCTACCTGGTTCCCTGCCACACAACCTCCCCCAGGCTTGGCGAACAGGCCAAATGCAACAGGGTTCTGGGTTGAATTTGTACCTGGGGCGTGGACCTCTAGCAAGTCTCAAAAGCAACCCTTCATGCTCGTATCCCTGTCAGGAGCACCAATCCTCTGCGAAGCCTACCCAAAAATGAGGCCCGACAACCAAACTTGGAAGACACGACGAAACAGCCTGTCGTAGGCCCTGTGAACATGTTGACGTAGTCGGGTGTGATCTGCACCTGGGTAGAGCAACATTCTTCGTCAGAATGCCTTCTGTAGGCTGTGCAGCAGATACCCAAACAGTCCGTGTGGATGTATAGCATATACTTCAGGCCCAAAGAGGTTCCGAACTACGTTGGGGCCTCAAGTTTTTATGTCATATGGGTGGTTGTCAAAATTATGGTCCCTTTTGGGTACCCTAAATATTAGGTGCCGTACAATAATAGGGACCCAAACAGGGACCATAATTTTGACAACCACCCATATAGCTACATGAACCCTTTGGGATGAGGATCATTTGGGGGGTCGAAGACTCGCAAGTCGGACGAGCTGCAGTCAACGGTCTTCATGGTGAGCCATTCCAAGCCCCAAACAACAAATCCAATGGGAAACCCTAAACCCTAAATCCTAGACCCTACCTGGACCCCAAAAGTATGTAAAATAATGGCCTTTATGCCATTATTAAGTGATTAGGGCTATTATTTTACATACTTTTGGGCTTTAGGTAAACCCTAAATCCTGAACCCTAAACCCTAAACCCTGCACCGCAATGGCATCACCCACATCAACGAGTGAAGTCTTCACTACTTGCCGAGAGCCCGGCGTATTCCTGCTCAACGTGCTCGACCTCACCCTCCGCCATGGTTCTCACCCTGAGGAGTTTAGAATTTAGGGTTTAGGGGTGTAGGGTTAAGGGGTTTAAGGTTTAGGGGTTTAGGGTTTAGCCCAAACCCTAAACCCTAAATAGTTGTTTCCCTTTTATTTTCCATTATCCCTATATAGCCCCCACGAAGCCGATTTAAATAGGGCTTTAGGGCTGGGGAAATACTCTCCATGCAAGAGATCTTGCGGGTCTGTAGCCTGATAATATAGTAATATGGAGCCCAGTTTTGGAGATGTATATGTAGGGGTGCATGGGATGCTCCGTGTAGGAGCCTACATGAAAACCAGCATCATTTTGAGGTCTATTTGAGATACCCTGTACCAGAATTATACAAGGAATCTAGAACCACAATATCTGTAGGCTTCTACAGTATGTACAGCCTAACCCTTAGGTCACTTGGGGTGATGTCGGCTTTTCTTCTAGCAGCGGAAACGTGCCGCCTGCAAACACCACGAGGATGAACACAAGAAGTCGCTTGGGGAGGCCCTAAACCCTACCTGGACCCCAAAAGTATGCAAACGAATGGCCTCTATGGCTATTATTAGGGGTCTAGGGCTATTATTTTACATACTTTCGGGAGTTAGGTAAGCCCTAAGCCCTTAACTCAAAGCCCCTGGGCCCGAGAACCTGTCGTTAGTAGAAGTTCCCTCCTTCGTCTGCACTGTCATCTACGTTATGTCAAGCTATCTCAAGATATGAGAGTTTCCTAAAAACAGGGGTACCATTTCGCGGGAGAGGCCCATAATAAGGAGCATAATATACTAGGGATCCATATTGTGGCCCCCGTATTTAGGGAAACTAACATGTACGGACAGGTTGGTGGGCACGGTCAAGGTGCGCATTGGGCTTCTTTGCGCGCATCACTACTCTCCGTTCACAACACCCCATCCGCCCCCAAGAAGAACCATTCCGGATCTAATGTCCGAAATGAACTAATAACGGCCATTCTCAAGTCAGGGTTCCAACAAGTCTCAAGACATTGGTTCCTCATATATCACAATCAACACCACCAAAACAGAACGACAGTCCCCTCAAACCCCTAGGCCCTAAACCCTAAACCCTAAACCCCTAAACCCCTAAACCCCTAAACCCCTCAACCCCTAAACCCTCAACCAGGTGCCTCACTTCACAGAGGCCCGGGCCGGAGGTTTGAACCTGCACCTCTTATCCCCTGCTGGGTCTATAGTGCTTTTTGCCCTGCTTCCTCTTGAGCCAACCGGGGTGGAAGATGTTTTTTTTTCTGGTTCTTAGTAGGGAAGTAAGGACATATACTCAATCCCTGTATAAGATATCTATACATACGTAAAGTATTCCCTAAGTAATCCCTGACTAATCCCTATATAAACCCTAACTCATCCTTATATAATCCCTACAGAATCCCGGTATAATCTTTTTTGTATAATCCCATATTCCCTACTAAGCACCAGTACCAAGATGTAGTCATGAGTGTTACCAGGCTCTCCGGCCGGGGCGGCGGGGTAGTTTCTATGAAGGCCAAGTAGCCTACTGCCGTGAATATATCTACCATTCTAGGGGTATATATGGGGATCATATAGGGATTATTATAAGATGCACTCCCCCACTCTCCCTTAAGCACCAGTGAGTGCGAGGTTTCTGGTAATCCTAACCTTTTTAAAATTGGAAACCTATAGCTATCAAATGACTCGCACATGCGTCATTACAGACGGGCTTGGGATTACCAAAATCTTCTTGGTCTTCTTCTTCGTGAAGACTTGCAGGGCCAGAATTCGGCCGAGTTGGTGGGGAAGTTTAGCTAAGTTACAGCTGCCCCAGTCAAGGTACGCCCATTCCTCTTTCCTCACATCCTTCCTCTAATCAAAACCGCCAGGCGTGGATGTCGTGAGCTCGCGAGCTCATAAACTTCATGCGTTGTCTTCCTTCACTTTTGTGATTCAATTTCGCTCTCTTCACTCACTTATTTTATAAAGTGAGCGTAGAGTGGGGTTCCCTTTGACAAGAGGCCCGGCATCATGCCGAATGTATAGGTAGAAGCACCTTAAGTTTGAGCAATTGCCATGCAGCACATTGGATTTCACGGTTTAGGGTTTAGGGTTTGCTGTGGATACTGTGAACTGTAGAATATTTTGGGAATCCATCAATTGCGGACCTGTCCTGTCGAAAGCACTAGGCAGCAAATTGAGTGGTACTTTACAAGGCCCCGAAAACAACCTAAGTTAGGTCCCTTGTACATTAATGGCTTTCCCCAAGTGCTACCTAGTACGTCATCGCAGTCATCGCGACAAAAAGGCTTGCAGGCAAGTACCAACAAGAGCCCCATGTGACAGAGCTGTCTGTTTTCGAACCCCTCTCCGTAAACCCTAAACCCTAAATCCTAAACCCTAAACCCTACATCCTAAACCCTAAACCCATCAACAGGGTGTGGATCTGAGGTTAAGGCTCTTCAGGCCCCTGATAGCGGTACACAATTCTGGCAGGCATCGTTGTTTTCTGAAGCATGCTTCAAGGGTTTGGGGCATTAATTAAAGCAGTGGATTACTGTCTGACATAAAAGGATCCTAAGCTTTTGAGCTTTTTGCAATGTAAGGAAACCCCTGTAGAATTGTCAAGGACCGCGTGGCATCGGCCTCGCTTCCTCAAACCATAGCTCCCTTCAGGGTTTAGGGCTAAGGATTGAGGGTTTAAGGGTTAAGGGTTTAGGGTTTTAGGGTTTAAGGGTTTAGGCTTGAGGATTTAGGGTTTCAGGATTTAGGGTTTAGGATTTAGGGTTTAAGGGTTTAGGGTTATGGATTTAGGGTTTAAGGGTTTAAGCCGAAGGATCAAGGGTTTAAGGGTTCAGGGTTAAGGATTTAGGGTTTAAGGGTTTAGGGTTTAGTGTATCTTCAACAAGTACCACAAGCAAAACTGAAAGTCACATCACACAGACCAAACGGAGGACCCGAGAAGCTTCAGAGCTTTCCACAACGACGAAGGAGCACTTGCTGGTTCTTGGTAGGGAATGGAGGAATGGACCCCTATGAAGAATAGTAGTAGTAGAGCCCAATTTGTCCCTGCCTGCAGCAAGCAATTTAACCGGAAACCCTACATCCCTATAAACCCTCTGCTTACCTGTCATTCACCATCCGTTTTGCACTTTGATTCTCCAGTAAGAGGCCCAACAGATGAGCCAAAATGACTATCGTTTACATACTTTGGGGAGATAGGGAGAAGAAATTACGATCTTGCCTCACTCCGTCCCTACACCTAATTAGAAGAGTGGTCATATAGGGGTTACTTTGGGATCATGGAAAAGAAATGGAAACTACTACATCATAATAGGTTGCATATTGGAGTTATATTGGCATATTGGGATAATGGAACAGAAAATGGAAACTACAAAAAAAGGACCTTGAAACCCCTTGAGAAGGGCCCGTGCCCATCATGGAAGATCTGCACCGGGTGGTCGAATCTGGAGTTGAAGTGCTTCCAGAGGTTCCGTAGCCTAGGAAATCAGCATCGAAGCCCTCTCTTTGAAGCAAATACCAGATGGATCCTTTTAAGGCGGGGGTTACAAGAAGTCTACAGGGATCACATAGTCGGTTTTCCAGTGTTTAGAATATGGTCGCGTGTGGGAGAGGTTTAGCAAGGCCCTGGTGCCGGTAGTAATATATTGCGCCAGTAGACCATGAGGGGTCCTCATCGCACAAAACCACGCTGTTGACTTCGACAGATCATTCGGTAAGACGCAGACCCCGTAATACTACTATCAAAAATCCTTCCCTAACATAAGCATTGTCCCCCAATATAGAAGGCATCTTGTAGGGAATACTGGATATTGGGGGTAGGGGTGGGGGTGGGTATTTAAGTATCAGGGGGTTCATTTGGGAAAAGACCGTCCCAAGGACCAGGCGAGTGGCGAAGCTCGGCAAGGTGTACATCATCCTCGCGGTTTAGGGTTTAGGGGTTTAGGGGTTTAGGGTTTAGGGGTTTAGGGTTTAGGGTTTAGGGTTTAGGGGCGAGTACCAGGAGGCTTGTGGAGGCAAGCGAGGGCAAGAGGTCAGAGTGTCTCGGGGTATAGGGTTTGCCTCCTGACAGCGCCAATGCATGGAAATGAGCAACTGAACGTTAGAATACAAATGTGTGGCCCGATGAATCTGCACATATTGTCTTCTGAATGTGTCCTAGGGACGTGTACATCTTGTCTGCCAAGAAATACAAGTCAAGGAAGCCAGGGGCTATCATGGTGGAATGCATACTGCATGCTTCTCAAACGAACTCCATCAACAATTCGAATTTCCCCTAAACCCCAAACCGTAACCCTAAACCCAAAACCCTAAACTCAAGAAGCTCCGATCACAGCTCCCAGAAGTTGAGCGTCCGAAACTTACTGTGCCAGATAGCCAAGCCCAAAGGTTCCTTTTTTGGAGGGCATCAGATGCTGGCAATAAAATGCCATAGAAAAGGCCACATAAGGTTCCTCGTGGGGATACTATGGGATAATCTTAGAAGGGTTTAGGGCTTAAGGCTTAGGGAACGATAAATTACCATGTCTTCTCGGCCTTCAGCAACAACAGCTGAAAAAATATCCACAATGTCACTATTTGCGAGGCAGGTCTGCTCCCGCAGGTCGGAGATCGAGGGAACCCAAAGACTTACCCCCTGGCTGGCAGGGAATGAAGGAATGGAAGCCACAACGCTATGGGGGGGAGTATATAACGACTATAAGGGTCCTTTCCTTCGTTCCCGTCTAACCAGAGGTTTAAGGGTTTAGGGTTGAGTTTGATGGTTGAGGGTTTAGCGTTGTGTAATTTAGGGTTTGGGTTTAGGACTTAGGGCGCAATGAATAGTCATGCCGACTTTTAAAGGGTTGCGGGACCAAGCTTCAGTGAACCCTAAACCCTCATGTGGAAGCCTCGATACGTAGGATGTTTGCAGGATGTTTGCATGCGTATGATTCATACCTAGCCGTAAATCAACTCGACCCCCAAACCCTCCATAGCCTCGACCCCTGCCTCCAGAAA